CGGTCTCTCCTGCCCGGGCTGGCTTTGAACCGCGATCCTCAGATCTCAGCCTCCTGAGTAGCTAGGATTACAGGCGTGAGCCACCAGCGCCCGGCCCTATGAGATTCTTATTTCCAATAAACCATTCCAAAAACTGGAAGTGGTGTTGAGGCTCAAGTGACAGAGCACTAGCCTTGAGCACAAAGAGGTTCAGGGACAGGGCCCAGGCCCTGAGTTCAAGCCCCACAACTGACAAAAAAAGAAGTCTGTTTCTTTCTGAGACAATTCTAATGCCCAATATTGGAGAATTATGGGATAAGGAATCAACTTCTTTTTCTTTTCATTTAAATGTATACATTGTAGCTTAGTTATATCCAAAAGAATACTAGCAGTAACAGTTTATACTTATATCAAGCTTTTGTGCAGGCTCTGTGCATCTACCCAACAAATCTATATCAGCACTATTTAACTGAGTATTTTTCTTGGCAGCGCTGGGCATTATATGCACAGCCTGGAGCATGCTAGCAAAGCACACTGACAGTGAGCTCTATCTCCATATCCTTTACTTGACTGAGACAAAGATAAAAGAAATTAGCCAAGGTCATCAGCTTCTGTCATAAGTGGTGAAGCAAAACTCTAGACCCAGGTAATTGGGCTTCCAAGTGTATGCTCTAGCCAGTTCATTACATTGCTTCTCAAAAGCCGTTGGAATATCAGCTCTTGGGGAACAAGTAGGGGCTGTGTAGTCTGTTCAGGAAACATGAACATGTTGGGGAAAAAGACAAAGATGGTGGTGACTCATGGACCAGTAAAGCAAAGTCCACCTCTGGAGAGACCTTAACGGCCACAGAAAAGCACTTACTCAGAAAAGCCTTTCCACTTCAGCAGATACTCCACCTGCCCTTTAACCACGCGCCTGTCTAACACCTTTTCCACGACATATTCCTCCTCATCCTCTGAAGAAGAACTATCAGCTGTCCTCTTGCTTTTCTTGCCCATGTTGCACAATGTTCCACCGGAAGGAGTAAGGCCACCGGGTTCCTACAAAGGGGAAGGACAAAATGGTCAGAATCAATGTGAGAATTAAAAATGGTCACTTCTATAGGGGCTAGAGAATGACACAATGTTACCACCTACTTTTCTCCTGGCTCTACCAATATTCTACAGATAGTTCTAAAGAGAGGGAATGTCCAATCCTCACTTCCCCAACTGAACTTTCTCTTCAGTTGAAGAATTGTCCAGCGCTGCCAGGCTGTTTGGCATTTTTGTAACTGTTTATAAGCAGGAACTCAAAACAGAAATGTGGAAAGTCTTCAGTTAAACAAACAAGTCTTAAGTTAAACAAACTGAATGCAAACTTTTCTCCTCCAAGGTGAATAAGGGCCTTTGTAAAATGAAAATGAGAAAAAGCCCTTAAAAGTATAACCTTTTCTATACTCTGAGCATCTTGTCCAGTCTCTTGGCAGCCAGCATGCGTGCACACATCCTGCTTAGGCCTCTTTTGCCACAGGTTCAGGTACATTTCCAACAGACAAACTGAGCCTGTCCTTCTGAGCATCCATCAGCTCACAACGCTGAAGCTGACATCTCCAACACACTAAGCCTCCTTTTCAGCAAACTCATTTGGGGATGGGAGGGAAGCAGAGAGGAGAAAGAAACTTTCAGTCCTAAAATGCAAAATTAGTCACTGGATTGTTCTGTAATTCCCAGTGGTCAAGTAACCCAAACAGCAAAGGAGGTACCTCTCCTCTTAACTGAAGTTGACTTTGGGCCAAAGGAAGAGGAGGAGGAAAGAGAAGTCTGGCCCCAGACTCAGCATCAACACCAAGCCTCCTCAAAACACAGAGGAACCATTCATAGGCCCAAGATGAGCCCAAGCAAGGCAAGACAAATGGAAATTGAGTTAAGCTCAGAAATATGCACATCAGGGAGTGCTCAACAGAGAACTTCGTTTGTAAAATTCCCACACTGTTGTGAACACAGTCATTTGTAAAGAATTCTTCCTGAACCCTGTTAAATGGTGCCTGTAGTCTGGATTACAGAATTGCATAAATTGTTTTCTTAGCTGAACTCCACTTTTATTTTGCTGTGTAATCTGTAAGGCTACTCTTCTATGCTCTCTTTGAATAAACTGGAAGGGTAGCTCCTAACATTCTCAGGATTATGCTCAAGGAAGCATCAAATATTGCAGTCACCAAGTTCCTTCTGAGGAGTAACTTTTAGGAAACCATGGCAAGAATATATCGGATACTGTTGGAAACCGTCTTCACAACTCACCAGAAATAGGTAAGACACCTAGAAACACTGCCTGCACTGCTGCCCTCTAAGTTAAGCTTTGGGTGAAACACTTGGGGAGGGGTCTGGGAGCACGCAGGAAGCTTCCAGGTAACCTTCCAGTGGATGGAGAAGCGTGTCTTGAGCTTCTAGGAACGCTATCTGCTTAGGTGTATTTAAAATAAAACCAGCCCGGCCCTCCCGGCCCTCCCCACACCCGGAAGTGCTGGGTTCCAGGGAGGCGGCCCCTCCCCCTCCCGCGCCGCGCCGCGTTTCCGGCCCGGGTCAGAGGCCGGGGTCGGGTCCCGCCGCCCCTTGGGGTAGCTCGGCCTCCCTCCCCCGCCGACCGGGACAACGGGGTTGACACACTGTGTGCTTCGGTTTGGGGCGCGGAGGGGGAGAAGAGGAAAAAATGTCCTATGTGCCTTCATGCAGAAGAGAAGCCCCCAGAGTAGGAGATAAATGGGGGAGCCCTCCTTTACCTACCAGCTCGCCCCGGTTCTTTCTCTCCCTCCCCTCCCCTTCCCTCCCCTCCCGGGTCAGTGCGCAGCTCCCTGCCCCCACCTTGCGGCCCAGGCGCCACTGCGCAGCTGTCCCGGCCCGTTGCCATGGCAACTGGCAGCCTACTAGACTAAGGAGAGAAGCAGAAGGAAAAGTTGAAGGCTTTAACTTTCCTCTTCAGCTGGATTAGGTGGAGACGTTGGCAGGTACGTCCCTGGGCCTAAAGGCTAAGGCACTCAAGAGTTCAAGGGACTTCTTACTTCTTTGCTTTAAACTACAGAACTTGTGTTTCTAAAAGCACTGCGTCTTAATCTGTAACATTTTAGGATGATCTAACAAGACTGCAGCTCTCTACCGGAAGGGGGAAGGGAAAGGCTAGGTCTTTCTACAACCTATCAGAATAAACCGTCTACCCCTAATCCAGCCCACCAGAAGCACAAGGCCTTCCCGCCATCTGCCACTGTACACTCAATTAAAATTGCTTGAGGGTAAAATAGCAGAAGAGGGGAAAGGGGAAGCACATTAAAAACATACTATATTTTCCTTGTGTTAGAGGATTACTAGATGCAGAACTAAATCCAAAAGCATGTAACATTAGCAAACCAAGTTTGAAATTATAGGTGCTGGGGGGGGGCGTGGCGGCAGTGAATTAATCTGTAAGTACTTTCCTTACAAAATTAAGGTCAGGTTGGCTGCAGCCATCATTCCATCTCAATAGTTGTTCCTGTAAATGTTCTGGAATAGATCTCTTAGTAATTATTACCCATCTGATACATTATCCACATATAGTTTCTTGTATCAATATTCCCAGATACCTGGCAGGAAAAAAAACAGCCTGGCAAGAGAGAGGCCTGGGGGGGGGGAGGGGCCCTCAGGTAGGGGGCATGAAGATGTGGCGGAATGACACAAAGTTACATAAATTCTCTTTGGCCGGGCTCTAACAAAAATTTTAGAGCTCTGAAACTGCTTGGTTTTATATGTGGGGAACATTGTTTTATTTTCTGTGATGCACACTAACCCCTGAGCCACACCTCCAGTCCAACTCAGTCCTGGAGAACTCTGGAGCCAAAGGCAGCTGTTGCTACAACAGACTAAGGAAAGGGGGTCATAGAAGAACTCCACTAAACGATTATAATTTGGGGGCTGGGAAGGTGGCTCAGTGGTAGAGTGCTTACTGGATTTGTTGGCCAATGCAGTGGCTCACTTCTATGATTTCAGCTATTTGGGAAGTAAAGATCAGGAAGGTAGTGAAACGTGCCCATGCAAAAAGTTATTAATACCTCATCTTATCAAATAAGCCCTGTGTAGTAAGGCACACCCGTAATCACAGCTATTTGAGAGGTATAGGTAGTAGGATCAAGGTCCAAGCTAGGGTTGGGACACTATAGGGAGACAGAACAGGAAAGGCCCAAAAATATCTGGAAAAAAAGAAAAAGCCAAAAGGGCTGAGGAGTGGCTTAAGTAAGCAGAAGGCTCTGAGTTCAAGCTCTTAGGACCAGGCCTACTGCTGATGGCTCATGCTTGAGCATAAGCATGAACATGAGCCTGAGCAGGAGGCTGAGATCTGAGGCTGAAATCAGTCTGAAGCCAGGCTAGGCAATTAACTACCAAAAAGCCAGAAGCTAAAGCTTTGGCTCAAGTAGTACAGTACCAGTCTTGAGGGGAAAAAGCTAAGGAACAGGACCCAGGCTAAGTTCAAGCCCCAATACTAGCACCAAAATAAATAAATAAATAAAACCTTTTTTCAAAAGGTGTGGTGGGTGGCATGTAGTTGTAATTCTAGCATTCAGAAAGTAGAAGGAGAAGATTCACAAACCAAGGCCGGTTTAGGTGCCACATTATAACCTTGCCTTAAAAAAAAAATGAAGTGGGACTGGGAAGGTGGTTCAGTGGTAGAATGCTTGCCTCCCATGCATGAAGCCCTGGGTTCAATTCCTCAGCACCACATAAACAGGAAAAGCCAGAAATGGCGCTCAAGTGGCTCAAGTGGTAGAGCACTAGCTTTGATCTGAAAAGCTGAGAGACAGCGCCCAGAACCAGAGATCAAGCCCCATGACCAACAACAAAAACAAAAGAAAAGAAGGACAAAATGAAGTGGCCAGACACTGGTGGCTCACACCTATAATCCTAGCTACTCAGGAGGCTGAGATCTGAGGATCACGGTTCAAAGCCAGCCCAGGCAGGAAAGTGTGAAACTTTTATCTCCAATAAACCTCCAGAAAACTGGTAATGGCACTGTAGCTCAAGTGAGAGAATGCTAGCCTTGAGCTGAAGAGCTGAGGGAAAGTGCCCACACCCAGAGTCCAAGCCCCATGACCGACCAAAAAAAAAAGAAGAGGGGTTTGAGAATGTGGCTTAGTGGTAGAGTGCTTGCCTAGCATGCATGAAACTCTGAGTTTGATTCCTCAGCACCACATACACAGAAAAAGCTAGAAGTGGCACTGTAGCTCAAGTGGTAGATTGCCAGCCTTGAGCAAAAGCTCAGGAGCAGTGCCCAAGTCCGGAGTTCAAGCCCAAGGACTGGCAAAAGACAAAAACATGAAATGGGGGCTGAGAATGTGGCTTAGTGGTAGAGTTCTTGCCTTGCGTGCATGAAGCTCTGGTTTGATTCCACGGTACCTCATAAACAGAAAAAGCCAAAGTGGCACTGTAGCTCAAGTGGTAGATTGCTAGCCTTGAGCAAAAGAAACTCAGGGGCAGTGCCCAGGCCCTGAGTTCAAGCCCCAAGTCTGGCAAAAAAATGAAATGGGCTTGGGACCTGGCTCAGAGGTAGAGCACCTGCCTAGCGATTACAAGGCCATGGGTTCAAGCCCCATAGCCTCCAGAAACAAAACAAGAAAAAAGTGGCACCTTTCCTGATTAAAGGTTATGAAAACAATGCCAAAGAAATTAAAACAGGATACAGATTCTGGGGTTAACTTGCCAAGTATGGTCTTGAGAAAATAAAATTTAGACCTAACCCCAGCATCATTAAAACATGACAAATAAATCCCCATAGCCTGTATTCTAGGGAAACATGAGTTTAGTTGGAAACTAAAGAGCTATTATGTCTCCCAAAGACAGACCTTTATCAAAATGTTAGGGCAGAATTTAACAGCAGAAAAAAAAAAAAAAAAAACACATGACCTTCACATTCCTAAGGTGGAAAACACACAGGAACTCCTGCAGTTCAACATGCTAGCAGATACCAAGAAGAAGAGGAACCATTGTCTTGTGCAGATACGAGAAGTAAACTAAGAAACAGGGCAAAAGATTCTAGTGTCCAC